ATGTAGAAGGTCAGAACAGGGTTTTTGAACCTTTATCTCAAGTCCTCGTGATAGGCTGATGTATTTATGAATATTATTTATGATTAATGATGTATTTATGATTTATGATTAATGAAGTCTATTTTTGTTCATCCTCCTTGCATTACTGTCTTCCTTCCCCCCCCAAGTTCAACAATACCAAATATTGTCCATATAATCAATCATTCATTGACTTTTATACTATCCAGTCAATAGATTATTACCAAACGTTTTAATGTAAATAAATATATTTTGGAGAAACTGAGTTAATCCCAAATTTGAACAGTAAGCAATATTTTCTACTATTTAATATTTGTCAAGTTTTTTATTTTCTAATTATTCAACAACCCCATGTTCATTCACATGTTGTGCACTGGCCATTTTATTGTGTAGAATTGTTTAAAATTACTGAACATTGTAACAATCTCATCACATTTTTTTTTTAATTGCTACATTTTTATTTTGGGTTTTAATTATTAATAACATTAAATAATAGAAACCTTAAGTTTTTTTTTTTATACTGACTAGCTTTATATACCTGGTGTGTACCTTTAATAAGGCTTACTTGTACATTATATAAACTTGTATTTTTATGCCAATCAGTCCCCCTCCCCACACATGTTGATGTCAGCATTTATTCGTATTCCTTACATTTTACAGCAATAATTCATAAGTTTGTCTTATGGATATCTGATGGTGTGAAGGAATATGTGAAGAACATGTTTCTCCCCTCCCCCTCTTCGGGGCCGAATTTTGAAAACGTTTGAAATTGGTTTTTAGGTATTTCATATTCCATACATATTAAAGCAAGCAATAACCTTATGTACATCTGTTTCTTCCTTATATGAAAAAAACATAAAAAAGCACGCTTTTGCCCGACCGTAATCTTAAAAAATCGCTTCTTAAATGACATCTTCGGTACAAAAGGAATAAGGCTCCTAAGTTTTGATATCTGTATCTCTAATAGCTTTGGGCGATGATCTGTAGATGAATAAATCATGAATTATTCCTTTATGTAAAGATTTATAGTAAAACATCTGAATAAATATGTATACCAATTAAAAAGAAAACTATTTCAGAAAAACTAACAAAAGAAATTAATTTACACTCAGTAATGCGCACGCAGTTCGTAACGTTTTAAACACACGGCATCGGCAAAAAATCGGCTTTGACCACGCCGAGCTCCTTGGAGTAAACACGCTGCGCGTGAATCTGCGCAAATGATCAGGGAGGAATCGGGAGGAAACTAGTATCTGAGGGGCTAGACGCTTGTGTACCCCGTAGGGTAAATAACTTCTGAGTCAAAGTCCAGGACTATATACTCATCGATACTTCATTTCATTTCAGTCTCAGATACGTCAAATCGTGTACAATATCGCAGAATTTTGCACTTCTTAAGCTTTGGCGAGTCTTTAGTAGTTCCTCTTCTTCAAGTTTTGAAGAGAACATCGAAAGCTACTAGCGAATCGGAGTATACAATTAAAAAAGTAAGCGCGAAGTATCAACAATTGGTGAAAATAAACTTCTAAATACGCCTGGAAAGAAACGTAAAAGCCCAGCTAATCATAAGTGCAAAATTGACGATTTCGAAAAATGCGTTATACGGCAGACAATACAATACAAGACTTTTACATCAAAGAAAAGAAAGTGCCATATGTGCGGAAATTACTGCCTTGAGTCAAAAAATAGACTTCCCGGGTTAAAAAAGACTCTTTGTGCAAAGTTTTGCGTTCAATGAAATTTCGCTGGAAGAAATGCATTAAAAAAGAAAAATTCTTATCGAAATACCTCACATAGTATTTTGGAGGAACAATTATTTACGCGAAATGAGGAAACTCAGGGCAAGTGAACGCCAGATAGTTTACATCGATGAAACATGGATTGACAGCAATTTAACTTTTAAGAAATGTTGGCAGCATGATACGGTTTTGGGCGCACAGATAAATGTCAGTTCAAAAAATAGACTGATTGTTGTCCATGCTGGCTCTTACGCAGGATTTGTTCCAGGTGCTCAACTTGTATATAACGCATCAGTGGAAAAGCTTCTTCCAAATTTACGACGCCAAAGTGTGGTATGCATGGATAATGCTCCGTATCACACAAAAACTGAAGATCCGACACCCACGAAATATGCTACAAAGCAAACATTGGTAAACTGGCTGATGAAGAAGACGATATGCTGCGATCCCAAAATGCGAAAAGCGGAACTGTTCAACGTAATAGAATGTAATCGTCCTAAAAAAGTAATCTATAAAATTGACAACATCATAAAAGAAAATGGGCATCATGTTGTGCGTCTCCCTCCTTACCACTGTGATCTAAACAAAATTGAATATGTTTGGTCATCAGTTAAAAGACTGAACAGGGAAAGAAATGTGACTGGGGACTTAAGCTTGAAAATTTTGAAAAATTTAACATAAAAAGCTTTGGATGACGTCACTTCTCAAGAATGACAGGCGCACTGCAAACCACGTGGAAAAACTTGAAAATTCTTATTGGGACAAGGACGAACTTCTAGAAGAGATAATGGATGAATTAATAATTCAAACTGGCAGCAGCGATTCCGATTCTGATTCAGAAGAAACGGAATCTTGCGACAGTGATTCAGACAATTTTTCAGATGTTTTACCTCTTTAAAAGTCCTCTACGAAGGCATCCTTCTTCTTCATCTGATAGCTCTCTTAAGTTATGAGGTTATTTCTAGGTTCAGTATTTTCTTTGCCACTATATAAAGGAAAGACTACCAAAAGTGGGCAACAATGAGCCTTCGGCAGAGGCGAAAACCCCTTGTGGATAATAAAAGACTACCTAAAGTGTAGAAAACTTTAGTAACTTAATAAAGAACACTGCGTGGTTGCTTCATTTCCCATTACTGTGTTCTTGGGGACCCACAAGCCATGGTATAATTTGCTTAAAAAATAATTTTTAATCTTCAATGAAAATTAAATAAGTTTCGTTTTATTATGAAAATATTAATAAAAATTGTGTTAATGCAACAAAGCTCACTGCAGTTATAAAAGCCAAATTTTGTATAATTATATAAATTTTGTATAATTTTAAATATAAACTAGGTAACTGAATATTTTAAGAGACCTTAATTTTGTTCTGATTTTAACATTTATGTTACTAGCTTACCAGTATCTATAAAAAGCAGCATAATACATAAATGGGCGCTGGTAATTAAGAGGCCACCAGCGGCTGATTGGTAAAGTCACTGAACACTGGTAGTTCGGTCCGAGGTTTAAATCCCGTAAACTGGCTGGCTGCATGGGCGTTTTCGAAGTTTTCCCCATGTGTAAAGTGTATATGAGCCAGTCCCTTAGGAAGCCCTCCACGAAGGCATACCTCCTCTTAGGCATTTAACCCTGGAGGCTTTCCGTAATCATATAAACCAATCCAAATCACTGGTAATTAAGGTAAAAGCAGTTTTGATTTTAATTCACCTTCGCTTCCTTTCGCTATTACCAGCTTTTGGTTTAGTTTGAAGGTATGGGAAAAGAAGAAATGTTCGCAAAATGTATTTATTGAGAGCATGGGTGTGTAAATAAACACTTTTACTTTCAGATGATTCCATATACATTTAATGATGAAATTTTTAGTCATTATTAAAGCACAAGCAATAAATTAACAGAGAATTTTGAAATAAAAACATAGCAGAACGTCATTTAAAGCCTGAAGAAATTGCTTTAAATGTTCACAGTAGATTAGCTAGAGGGGAGAACTATAAAAATTTAATTTACTGTACATTTATGAAGTGCGTCTATACTATATTACAGAGAATGGGGCAATAAGTAGATTTCTAAGATGTCATCTAGGATTGTGCAAGCAAACAAATAAACAAAAAAGAAGCAAAATAATAGCATAATTTTTTTAATGTAAAAATTAAAATTTTTCTTCAAAAATGAGCACGGATTTTAAAATTTTATTTCCCTACACATTATTTTGATATATTTTAACTCATTGTACAACTAGAGGGATGGCAAATTCAGCGACTTGTACCTCACACGGCAAAATCAAAGACCGTTTCTTGACGGCAAAAGCTTTATCTACGCTATCGAATTTTCATTTTCGGAAATTGGATGTCGGGGTCGACGCAAAGGGTCAACGAACATTTGATTCACCAAATCATCTTTAAATGCGCCAAGGTGGCAAACTGAGAAACAAATCTTCAAGTCACCCCTACGAAAAATAGGTCAGGGCTCGTTTCTACGGCAACAGACAGCTGCAGACAAACTGGCGAGAGCTGTTCTTACCATAGACAGACAGTATGGACCCACGTTTTACTTCAAGATATTATTCCATTTATTGGATGTTTTTATTAGCCCATTTTTATGACCCTAGGGAATACGACAGCAATGTAGTGGTAATGGCTCGCACCGGCTTTTACAGCCCTTCCGAAATGACAATCCAAGATAACGAATGATGACATACATAAAGAAGGTTTTGAGAATAAAAACAGTTTTGCTTCTTTACAGCAAAATTGTGCTTTGGAATATATTGTACTTCTGTAATTTGTATCGATTACTTTCCTTTCGTTTGATTTGCATTGATTTATTTCATAATAGAAAATGGGAAAGGGATATTTGCCTAACGTTATCACATCTTTAAGGAAAACGTTCTAAGGGAAATTATCTCATATACGTATTACACACGAAGCAAACTTCTATTAAGCAAACCCGTTTACTAGATTCAAACCAGGTCAATTAACAGCCTTCAGCAACTTTTACCACTCATGGGCCTAGTTTGGTGCTGTAGTTCATTGGTTCCTTCAGCGTACGAGCATTATTACATAAGTTTTTTGCAACATACTTCGGATATATGATTTACAGAGTGTGACGACAATTGATGATTTGATATATAATTTGCGGAATTTGTAAGGAAATTTTGAAGTATTAATTGATGGATTTTCTCAAGCGTGTGGGTTAACCAAAACTGCTTCTTCAGTTGAAAAATAAACTGTAATTTGCTGATTTTAATAATTTTTCCTGAAAACGGAATTCAAATTAACTAAACACCGAATTTTATTTCATTTGACAACTCAAGTCTACGAAGAGGAAAATATAATGTAACCTGGCTTTTATTCACGAGTTATACGCCAAAATCTCATGCTCCTCCCTATCCAGGTAAATTGGAACGGGAACACCCAATTGTGCGAACTCCCTCGGTGGCCACGCTGCTTCCTATTGTGGATCTAAAAAACAAAAACTTAACGGCAATACCCCCGAAAAAACTCCAACTCCAAAATATAACAGGGTTAATCGCAGCAAATTGTATTCCCTCCCGGCGAGTACCCGCTGTTGCAGACAGGAAACCCTCAAATAATAGTACTATGGATGATAATTTAAATGAAACTAAAAATAACGCGAAATATCAATGCACAAGCTGCAACAGCTGGCATAAACGGAAATGGTTTCAATTCTAGTTACTACAGCACTATTAGAACAAAAATAAATCAGGTTTATCTGATCTCCTTACCTTCGCGAAAGAAATTCAAATGCATTTGATAAAAACTTTTTTACACTTTGCCTCATGCTTCCAGATATTTGTTTCAAAAGTACAGATAGCAATACGCTGCATTGCCGAAGCAGTTGCGCAAAGGTGCAATGTTGAACTCAATGAAATTAAGCACTCGGGCAAAGAACGATGTATAATTACAGACGTGACTATTCTCGAGAAGAGAAATCGGGGTAACGAAGAGGTCAAAGGTAGCTGAAAGAAAATTCTGACGATCTATAAGTAACAGAAATAATCCAGGAATCCTACTGGACTTAATGTCGAGAATATCATGAACTCAAAACTGCAGTCATGTCAGGTTAGGTCATAGCATTAGTTTCAAGTGCCGTTGTAATTAAAGAACATGACTTGAGTTATCATACGTCCCATAAGGGCTTTGAAGAGTGAGAAATCGAGATTCCACAGAGAAATCTACGTTTGCTAAATGTAAATCTATGTCGAAAGACGTCTTTTAAGATATGAAGAAGTTCCTAGTTCCGCTTTATGCTGTGAATATCGCGCGGCATGTCCGACTTTTTCCGGATCAAGTGACCTTGCTGAGTGGCGGCTGTCTCGGAATTTTCTTTTTTCCCTTTTCATGAGGAATACGTTGCAGTTACAAAAATACTCATGCTTTGTGTATTATGATCCCATTTTTCTTTTTAAACTATTTTATTATTTATCTTCTATGTGTCCTACCCTACCGTGCTGTTAAATCTCGGAAAGTTGCCACTCCGCAAAGTATAAAATCTTTAACTTAGATTACAAATATAGTCCATTTGTTATCAATTTGCAATCAATCACCAAACATAAATATTTAAATGTAAGAATCGTCCTTCGTACATTTCTAAATTCAGTTTCGAATGATATATTCTTTCATTAATATATCATCTAAATGTCTAAATTACCGATTTTCAAGCAGTTTTCTAGTGGAGTGTACCTTTAAATAAAAATATTTTGACGTCCTTTTACACTTCTCCCATTCAAAAATAATTATTTTAGCATATTTTATTACTAGTATACTTATATTTTTAAATTAGAAAAAATTAAAATTCCTTTAACGGCGCTTCACCGGTTCTATTATCGTTGTGAGGTATTATTTTCACAACGATCTGTATACAGTGTCTCACAAAAGTGATGGGACACTTGTGCTTTACAAAAGAAAACTGTAGTAAAATAAATTAAAAAAGCATGTAAAAATTTTTTGTGGGTGTGTTTCCTACTTAAATTTAGTAACAATTATTACATAACATTTTCACAAAATATTAAAATATTAATTTAATAAAAATACAATTGTTTAGAAAGCAGCAAAAAAATGGCTCAGATAAGTGATGGGACACCATTAGATACTACTACGTACTACAATAAAAATATTTTTTGGGGTTTTATTTTTACTCAAAAGCAATTGGCAATAATTTATAAAATCGTCTGCAGTATTTCTCTCCAGTTTGTTTTGGAATTTTTGTGTTTTTTAGCTCTGTGCAGCCATGAATGCTAAACGAAAAGAAACTTTGCCTGAAATTCGAAAATTAGTTATTAATTTGCATATTGAACGTGGAAAATCTATTAGAGAAACTGCTGAAACAGTTAACTTGAGTCATTCAACAGTTTTCAATATCATTAAACGATATAAAAAGAATCATATGATTCAGGATAAAAGAAGACCTGGCCGACCATCAAAGCTATCCAATGGAATAAAGCGAATTATCGTTCGAAATATTAAAAAAAATCCAAGAATGAGTGCTCCTAAAGTTGCTGCTGATTTACAAGCATTATATGGAGTAATTGTTAATCCTGAGACTATTAGAAGAGTAATTCGATCTGCTGGATATCACGGTAGAGCAGCCAGGAAAAAATTCTTCGTAAGTGAAAAGAATAGAAAACTCAGACTGGCTTTCGCAAAATCCAACATAAATAAGAATTCTGA